CATAACGTGTTGTTGCTTGTCTGTCAGTCAAAAATAAATGAAGCATTGTATCGATTTATTAGATAGGTATATAGCGTAAAAATAAAAAAAATTGATGTTAATTACAAACTGAACAATGCGAGTCATTTATAATTTTTTAATAGTAATTGACATTATTGTGAATATTTTATTTTAAATACGAGGTGTCCCAGAATCAAGGACGTTAATTATCAGCTTATACAATAACAATTTAAATTACTAATTTCTAATCAAAATACACTTCCAGAGTTTCTATTAACTTTATTTATTTACAAATTATTTTATATATTTTTATGCACTATTATATTGTAATCTAAATAAAGTATTTTATTAAAAAAAAATACTCAAAATTTTGTAAGCCGAGCGAATACTGTTATTGTTCTGTAGGATATAGCCCAAAAAAGGAAGAAAAAAAGACGAGGAAAAAGAAGAAGAAGAAGAAGAAGAAGAAGCGAATACTGTCTTTAAATTCATACTCAGTAATTTGGAAGATAATTTAACTACTATTTATACAAATGGATCTATGGAGTCACTCCATAGATGGATCATAATAATATAAAAAAAAATGAAATTTACCAATCACAGTTCATATTTTGGTCACCCAACTATCCACTATTAGTTTTAAAATTTTAAATAAGTAACTGTTTTGTCAAACTAATTGTAAGACATATTTTATAGTCTATAAATCTACAGGGTGTTTCAGTTAAAAAATTTGGTTTATAACTCAAAAATAGTAAATATGTAACAAAAATTATCTACACCATTGAATTCCACGGAAAAAAATCTATAAAAATGTTATTATACCTTTTCGATAAATTGAAGGATAACGGAGATGCAACATTTTCAAAAATGCCCTGTATCTTAAAAACTAAAAAGGCTATGAAAATTTTGTTAACGGCATCTTTAGTTTTACGGAAAAATAGCATAGTGTCGCGAAAACCGCAACCCTCTATCTTTAAAAATAACGGAGATGCCCCGCAAAAGGTCCTAAAATGGGACACTCATGACTATTATGCAGTAGTCTTAGACACTGAAACAAAAAAAACAAAATATAAATTACAGTCGTAAAACTAAATTTTGTTTAAAATTGCAAGTAAACAAATAACAACCTCAAAAATACTTTTATTATTAAAATAATAGTAAATGTTAGCTTTACCTTGGAGACGTTTTTCGATAACAATCGTTAAATTGTCACACATACTTCCTATTTACTAAAGTCGTAGTTCTTATTTAAACACAATTAAAATTGTCTTATGAGAATTTATAATGTATTTAGAGTGTGTTTGGAAAGTTTCATATGCCCCGCCCTACTTTGTGATGTCACGGCTTGTTTATGTACATTACACAAAATAGCGTTGTTTTAAGCGGTTACATGGTTTGTTTCACGGGTCTTTGATCTCTCTTTTTAACCACAAGCATTTGCGGAAACCTCTCGTACTCAATCAGCATAGTGCACCAAGGTGACCACCCAAAGCGCAGTTGCGGACCTACCAAAAAAATAGAGATTGCATGAAAATAATAAAAATATTAAAATTAAATTTATATTTTTATGTTATTTATGTGATTTTAAAATAATGTATTTTTATGAAATTTATCTGGGTATTTACTGTACAAATGCGTTAATGTAGAAACCGCCCCTGCATACAATATTTATTTATTATTTATTAGGTTTGGACTTACAAATCCCATGTGGAGCTATTCCATGTTGAAAGCATTGGGTTTGTTTAATTACATTGAAATTAGGGTTGTACAAAGGTTTTCGTGTTGCCAATTATATTTAGTGTTTTTTTTTCTTTTTCGGGCCCTCGAGAATTAAAAAGTAAATTTTCTTTAAATTGTGCTCTTTAAGTTTAAGTTTTGGTTTTCTTATTGTTCTAGCTACATACTTTATAAGGGTATGTTCTAGTATAGCGATATACAGTACGTTAACCGAAACGTCAGGCAAAGTAAAAATGTGAACTCTTAATTATATTTGTACGTGAGAGTGATGAAGAAAGTAATTCATTGAACCACGCTCTTCCGATATCATACATGCGATATTGCTATCCACACACGCGGCACACGGTGACGTATTATTCTATTTCTCTCTATTCAATAGCATTTTGTTTCTAGACCGTTTTCCAGGAGTCAGGATTGAAAATGCAACATATTGTATAGTATCAATGTGTCAAACTATCAACAATTTTAATCTGACAGACTTCTGTAAATAGGCACATTGCATTGTGATTTAAACCAGCAAACATTGCTTATGTTTTATAATCGTATAATGAAGCAAATTACCCCCCTATGGACGCCGTTGTTCGCTCTATGCATATTTGTTTTTTCGTTGGAATAAACAAGCGAACTAATGACGAAACTGGAGTTTGTTTTGTTAAAAAAAGATTCTTTACATGGCTAATTACGTTTTAACTGGCGCGGGTGTTCGGCTTGTAAAATATTGCTTGTTGTTTTTTCTAATGTTCCGCTTTATGGCTTTTTAATACTTTTAGACGTTAAAAAAAATCCACTCTCAATATGTTTTGATTTTGTTTACATTCACTTGTTTAATAAACAAGAATAGTTATATTTTTACATCAGTGAAGCAACATTTAAACGGCTTTTTATATTCCATTATTCTTTCGTAGTCTTATATTCTTTTTATTCCTTTTGACCAGTCGGTAAAGAAGGTATTTAAGAAATGCCACATTTTGGTCAATATATTGTGTCACCTCCATTAAAAAAATTTGGATTTATATATACGCATACTCGGTTTTTAAGTTCTGTTTTAATTTTATAACAAAAACATACTTCTATGTTTATAAACAAACGTGATTCTTCGTATCTTTTATTTGCTAAGTAAAAGTAAGAACCCCATACGTTTTTCAGTACATCAGTGTTTTCTCACATTATTAATGTCATCGGGTACATAAAATATTTTGCTGCTGCATGCTGCATCTAAAATATAAATAGTCTGGTGCACTTTGTATGTTTATTTAGAAATACTTCTATGTGGCGATAAAGTAGAGTCAAAAGCTTATGCTTATTGGGTGATGATGGAAAAATGTAAAAATGTATAGACAGATTTATTTGTTTAACATTTATTATATATTTTTTAAAAATAGTTTGAAAAAATACGGATTATGAAAAGTTATGAATATTTTAACTTTTTTATTTTCTTCTAAAATTTTATAGTTAATAAATGAATTAATTTTCATTGTGCTCCAGTAAGCCAAAGAAACCGATAATTTTTTTTATTTTGCTTGTTATTTTTTTTTGTTCAGATTGATTTAAGGATCACCATCAGCCTCTTCAGAGGTCGTACGTCAAGTAGACATAGTTGCATAGGTAACAACAAACCGTGTAATTTGCATATTTATCTTGTCATCGCAAAACCTCTTTCATATTCAGTTCTCAATTGCAATTAAAAAATAACAGAAGATACTATTACATACAGGTAGTGGCTACATGTTCCAGTAAGATGCTTTCAGTACAGATGTTAGTTAGCTTTGTTGTTTCAAAACGAGTAAAAATAATGAACTATCGTTTATATTAAGTTTCTAGTATAAATTGAGATTAAAATAACACGTAATGTCTTTAAAAAATTTACAGACAATTTTAAATTTACCATAATTGAAGACCTTGGTGAAACAATGGGATATGCTACCAAAAGTTAGTTTTGAGCTATTTGAGATTTAAATATTTAATCAAATCCTGTAATCACGTTTACACACTAAAAAATAAACAAAGGTCGAGAAATATCAACAAAGGCTTTTATTATTTAAATCATAAAAAAATAGCAAGTTATTTAAATTGGCAAAAATATTAACAATTTTTTGGAAAATGTGTGGCTTGTCCCCTTTTTGCCTACACTTATAAAATACTTTTTTTGGTTTAAAAACAGAAAAGTTTATTCTCTTAGAAACCAATAATAATTGTGCTACTTTCCACGAAAGCCTGCACTGCTTTGACTACATCTAAACACTGATTTTTGCTAGTTCAAAAAGAAATAATACCAAAAAACAAAATAATATATTATGCTAAATTTAAACAAGGAAATAAGTTAAAGGACTTTATCGCTTACTGTAATAATAAACAAAAAAAGAAGAGTTAAAAAACTTAATACATCCATTTAGTTCAATGATGTGATTTTAAAGACAGTCTAACACAACATCATCTTCACTATCATTTAAATTATTATCACTGACATTATCTACATCTTCTGTTTCATTATTGTTTATGTTTTGATTTTCAGTATCCAAATTGCACTCTCCGATTTCTCGATAAAATTGCATGTTCACTGAAGGTATATATCTTAAGAGCTGGGCGACATTAGAATTTTTTTTTTTTTTTTTGTTCAAAGGAATGGGATTGTCGTACTTTTGTTTTAGATTCCTTAATATCAATGAAACTGCATTTCGATTACACCTCTTTTCCTTATGGTAACACTTTTAAATAGCTTATTTACTCTGTGTTTTACAAGTAATTTTGGCTCTCCTTTAACAAATTTAAAACTGATAATCTGACTAAAGTTAAGCTTTTATTTTTTACTATCTGACTCTATAGATCTTTAAAACATAGAATATATTTTCGCTCTAATACATTTACAAAGAAAGGCTTTGTTCGTTTAGATTTTCGTACTGCTTCATACCAATCATTTGGCTCATAAACCTGCTTCATTCCTTTCTTGTATTTCTCTATTATTGGGAAATCACGATCGGAGGGTAAGTGCGTATGACCAACAACTAAGAATCTGTATTGTACTGATTGGAATAACCCTTCATTGACTAACTGCTGGCATAAACAGATAATAGACCAATTTTTTTGCCACTGCAGTTGTCAGTATAAACTACTAGTTTTTTGTTTATATCCTTGATCAGTTATACTATACAACCATTTATGCCTAAGTTATACTTCCATGCATTCTTTAAATAAAATGTCGGCCTGGTAAGGCTTGTTGCAAGTCAAACGAGATAACACAAGTATCTTGATTAATTTTGGCACGTTCAACTTCGTTTTAAACTTTGTTTTATTGCTTCAGCTCTTCGTAAGTGCAACTCATGCTTGATTTTATTTTGCCTAATTTCCTCTTCACTCGCATTTTGATCTTCTATAACTACCTTCAGCATATCACATGTTTTACAGGTATCACTTTTGGGCAGCTTAAACCCAATATTATACTCGCTGCAGAAAATACGCCTGTATTTATCTTCTAATACAGGCTGTAGATCTCGATTTTTACACCAATCAATGGAGTGGTCTATGTACAACTTGGATATGTTTAAATCGTGATCAATATATACTTTTTTAAGGTTTTCTTCCTGCTGTAATGGCTTGTGTACTTTGGTATAAACTGCAAGATTGGAGTTGATCATCAGGAATTTTATTGTGTCGAGTTTTATACTTGCCCCGTTTGTCACATTCTGGCATTGTTAATCCAGTATTTACCATTTTTTGACACAAAAGTTCTACTCTTCTCTTGCTCTTATGTAAACCGTGAACAGAGAGGAACTCGGTTTTGCAAAGTTTTACCCTTTTTCCGGCAACTTTTACATAATACTCGAATAATACATTTCGTTAAGTTTTTTTTTTGGGTAAGATCTTTTTTTGGCGCTACATTTTATGCACGAATATAAATAAATGTTCTGCTTATCGTAATCACCTAGTCCCAGAATTATTTAAACATTTAATTTTCTTTTCCTTCTAGAAGCTCTCGACATTTCTTATTTTTGCATTTGCAAGGCGGTCCTATTTCCCTGGCCTCAACTTCATTTCCCTTTCTGTTTATATAAGTGTGTCCTAAGTTTCTCTTTACTTTGTTTTTTCCTTTTTTCTTCTTTTTAGGTTCTGCTTTTTCCATCTAGATGGAGTTTCCAATGTACCTCTTGTTGTTATTGCAGGTACTGGTGGTAATTCTAATGGCCGTGGAGCCCCTTGAAAATCATTATTAGGTTGTGAAGCATTTCCAATGCCATTATCCTAAAAAAAAAAAATAGTGGAGTTTTATTTTTTTTTAATAAGAGCATAAGCCAGAAAAAGTAAATAATGGCAAAAAGGAGATAAGCCAAATATTGTATTTATTTAGCCTTTAATTGGGCTTAACGGACAAACATTTTCATACATTAGCAGGGAGCTTCATAAATACATACTATTATGCATTGTAAAGGTATGAAGGACATTTTTAAAGTAATACAGTGGAGAAAGACATTGCTTAGAGATAAGCCACAAACATATTGGTAAAACAATCCGAAGATCACTCATTGTTGCACTATTAAGAATAAGTTTTGTCCTTTACACTATCGTCTGAATCGAAATCAATACCACTTTCACTGCTAGAACTGTCCGAATAATAATATTTTTGTTTCAGTACATGTTCATCTGGTTCAGCCATGTTGAAATAAAGGTGGCTTCTCCTCTTCTTGCCTATAAAAACTGTCAAGATATTTTTTGGGGAATAAGGAGATTTTGCTATTATGGCGCCATCTATTATCCGATAGCGATACAAATTTTTTAGTTAGCAGATAGCTTCATAGTAACTGAGAAAATTAGTTGAACCCAATTAATTTCTCTAGAGTTGTAGCATATCCCTTTGTTCCGCCAAGGTCTTCAATTGTACCAGATTTTGAGCTAATATAGTTCTTTAAATTGGTCGAAATCGATAAAAGATCTTAAGATATTCCTCTAAGAAGCTATTCACTTTTCCCAGTTATGATTTTTTTGTCGTAAATTAGCAACAGTTGTGAGCGCTACAAAAACATATATGCAAATCATTCACTAAATATCGCAATCCTCTCTATAAATCATGCAGAAGAAAGCTTCCATTATCAAGATATTGACCTCAAACACTTGAAGAAGTAGATACATACCTATATATACTAGAAATTCAAAAAAATATCGACTCTACATTCATTTGATTGGTCGATTGCCAGAACTTTAAGATTAGTTGCTAGCCCCTGGAAAAGCATTAAAACTTCAAAATGGATCGCGTTATCTTTTCTATTTGGTAACAAAGAACACCTTCCGAGATCGATTCACCTGTCAGGATGTATGAGAAGCATTACTCAGTCTGAAGGAGCATGTACTGGAGTCAAATGTACAGAAACTAGCTATGCCAAAGATAGAGAGCAACCTGCTAAATTGGAGGATCATTAGAAGCATGGTGAAAATGATCTTCTAAGACATCCAAGTTGAAATACTGGTCTGGATCCATTCTACCAGCATTCAGGTTATAACGAAGACTGTGCCTTGTTACTTCCATGCAACTGGAAATTGTAAAAGAGGATCCAATTGCAAATACAACCATTCAGTTTTAGTTCCAGGAGGAACTATTTCTTAAGGAAGGGGCAATGTGACGCGGAGCCAACCCTATGTACACGCGACCTTGGAAGTCTGCCACGCGATTCATGATCGAAGCAACGCTGACGTGTGAAAACAGTCGGACCGCGTCTCGAATATACAAGAAACGACGAAATCTTCTAGGTATGCCGCTGACGCTGAGTCATAGAGATGGAATTTTCAGGAGCGCCTAGAAACGACGAGCACAGAATTGGTACAAATAGCCGACTCATCGGCGCACAGTTTAGTTTAGTATAGAACATTGTAAAGAAAAGTTTAAGTGTAAGAAATAAATTAGAATTGTTAGTGTCTAAGTATTATATAAATTAAATAGTACGTCTTAAATAAATTGTAAATAGTGTGTTTTAAATAAATAAACTATAAATAAATTAGACTATCGTTACAATGTGCTTACAAAAAAGGGACATTTCCTATGTTTAATACTCTGTACCTCGAAACTAGTAATAATATCAACATTTCAAAAAATTTGACGGAAAGCCAATTTCCATCCGAGTCCTTTATCATTTAATATCAAACACAATGGCATTTAGGTCTTAACAGTTTGAAATCTTTAAGTCATCTACAAATAACGGTTTTCTGTTTCGGAAACAATAAATGATATCATTAATAAATAAATTAAATAGTAAGGGTCCTAGATGTAACCCTTGAGGAACACTTGAATTAACTTAAAATAAGTTAGAATAGTAGTGATTTACTTTAACCATTTGAGTTCTGTTAGTAAAATGAATTGCAGTAATACCCCATCCTGACCATATATGAAGAGCCTATGGTTAATCCTGTCAACAGCCTTGGAGAAGTTAGTACTCAGAATAGATTTGTATTTGTTCGTTTACTATTTACAAAATAGAAGAAAATATATAATTTGAAGAGCATTCTCTAATTAGTAGTTTACATTATGATCTTTGTTGTTGACTGAAAATTTTATAATTTTGGTGAGTACTTTTATGTTTATTAATTAATCCTATGAACAACCTTTCTATCAACCAAGCTCCTATGCTGCGATGAATACCAGTGTGGAATCATAGATAAAGTTGCTCTGCTTTACAAATTGTTTTATAAAAATTAGAGAACGTAATTTCTAAAAATTATATTCGGCGAATGAATCAAAAAACCTTTTCAAGAAGCACGTTTACCATAATACAATCTTGGTTAAATAAATGTTCGAGAAAATGTTCGAAACCTTTATATAAACAGCGAAATGTTTCTGCCTCATTGATCATCATCAATGGACCAAATTAAATCGTGAAGTTTTTCCGGACTTCGAATACGTAGCCACTGCGCAAAGTAAACAACGAATACAATTAGAATTAATGGCCATTATTCACGTTTTGCTTCTTCTTTACATTGTCGGTGAGCCCGAACCAATGTATGTAATTTATACGGTAAGGGAGTGTTATGAGCTTAAGAAAATGGCTGTATGGGTGTACCTATTCATTGTTTGCGGATAACTGCAAAAAATTTCTTCATAAGTGTTACTGTTAGGTTGACATTTTTATATCGTACCTGGTGTAACATCTTAAAAACGTTCACGCAGAAGTGTTATGTTTATAATTAACAAAAAAATTAATATACTCCCCAACTTCCAAATAAACAATGGTCATTTAACAATAGTCAAGATCCGAAGTAAGATCGACCTTCACTAACGAATGAAAGTTTTTTTTTTATTAATAAAATATGTTTATAAATATACTACAAATGGGTTGCCTAACAAAATACTATGAAAATTATTTATTTTCTTAAAGTAAAAAATACGACACCCTATAAAATATTCCTCAGATGCTTCGACTAAAATTAAATCAGCTCACCACAGGATGGATTAATGCTTGATTTTAAAATTTAGTGTTTTTCTCTTTATCCGTTTTTAAGTTATCTTCAAAATTCGAAATTTGCACCCTTCCCCAAATATCTCGAATACAGTCCATTTTAAGAAAATCATGTATAGGACCAAAATTATTTTAAACATGATTCCTATACTTTCCTTATCTGTATACAGAAAGAAAAGTAAATAATAGCTGTGACAGTATTTTCTTAGGCAACTAATTTGCGATACTCGTATTAGGCATTCCAACGACCTGTCAAATGCTGGGAACTGACAGTTTAGATATGACAACGCTGTAGACCTTTTGTTGTTGACAGGGTCAATGATACATATGTAGTTATATAGATTACTCAAAGCGGGTTGTTTGCGAGTGGCCATATTGCCTCGCAAGTACTCATTAAGCAGAATGGGTTTAGCAAAAATGTGTTTACAAACCATTTTTCAGCTTTTGAATATAGTAAAAAAAGAATTACCTACATTTTTACTTAAAGCATAAGCGCTTATGTTCATTATGAAAAACATGGATGATCAATCTATTTGATTATCTATTTCATTGACCCTGTCAAATCACCAGGCCTACAGGGTTGCCATAATGTTGCCATATCATAACCTGTCAAAACACACTAGTAGCCATTTTGTTTGGAATGCCTAATATTTATAAACATATTTTATATAATAAAAAATCCTTTCATCCGTTAAACAGATGGGTGAAGGTCGACCTTACTTCGGATCCTGTATTACAAGAAGATATCCGTTTTTAACCGACTTCAAAAAAGGAGGAGGTTCTCAATTCGTCGCAATATTTTTTTTTATGTATGTTCAGCGATAATTCTTTAACACGGTGCCCGATTTCAATGATTCTTTTTTTGTTAGAAAGGGGGTACTTCAGGGGTGGTCCCATATAAATTTGGTGAAAACATAATAATTGGGTCCATGAGAAAATCCTCAGACTCTTCATTTTTTATGCATGTTTAGCGATAATGCTTTACCACCTTGTCCGATTTATATGATTCTTTTTTTGCTAGTAAGGGAGTACCTCAGGGGTGGTCCTATATAAATTTGGTTAAGATGTGGTGATGGCATCTGCACGTTTTTGAAGTCGGTTTTTTTAAATTTTTAATTTCTAATAATTGTCTTGTCATATAAATTTTATCAAATCATAGGCCAGTCAATGAAGATATGCTATTTTGAAAATTTCAC